TGAACTATATGTTATCTATTACGATTTCTTTTTTTTCTTTTTCTAATAATTCTTTCATTTATTTTGTATATAAGTTGTTTAGCTTTAATAATAGATAAACTATATTTACAATTGGGCAGGTAAAGGTAAAAAATCGAGTACCCAGCGGATCAACGAATTTTTGTCGGATACCTGTTGTATAGGATACTCGCTTTTTATGGGTCGAATAAGAATATTATTTGTCAAATACCCGGTAAAATCGGATCGGATAACGGATAGTCCAAATTTTCAGGATACCCATCTTATTTATTTATGCGCTGCCCTTAGTATCTCTCTTACCGAATTGCGCCATCTTATCATTTAATTCCTCTTATTATTTAATGTTTTCTCGAACTATTCAGCGCAGCATGTGACAAGGATCGGCACAAAATCAAATCGAATCACTTTATTAGTCCACATTAGTTGATCGTATTAAAATAAAGTTTTTTAAACAAATAAATACTCGTACAGTATAAACCAAATCAAATCATACCGAACTCGTGAGCTCTGTACGACAATGTTAACAACAGCAATTGTTGGGAATCTTGTCCCGTGATCATCGAGTTTTTAATAATTAATCTAGTCACGAACCCGACTCAATATATACTAGTAGTATTTTTTGTTTTGGTAATAACAATTTTCATATTTAACCACACCAACAATTAGAAATCCAACAAAATTTTATTCAACCACTCAATTGAAACAAAATTTTGAAGAATCCATGTTCTAATCAAAATCCACTCACACACAACAAGAAGAAGATACAAAACACAAACATGCATTCCCGCTAATAAACAAATCACACTACTACATTTTTGTTTTTTTTATTCTTTTGCATTTTGGTTACTCATTTGCGATCATAAACCACCGATGTATCAAGCACCCAAACGGCTGGCCAATACACCGACCCGAACCATATTTTTCCATCATCTCTCTCATAAACTTCACTAACATACTTCATCGTTGTCCCTTCACTGTCCTCGAGCATCTCGATAATCTCTCCCGTCTCCCCGGAGACTTTCACGGCGACTCCATGAGGTTTCCCTCCGTTAATGAGATGAATCATAGTCTCCATTTTCAATGCCTTCATGAAAAACTTCCCAACCAAAGGGTGAATACCAAACACACGAGTGAACAAACTTATTTTGCTATGTAATGCGACCCAAAAATCTCCCGTAGGCGTGCGCCTGATATTGTCCATAGAACCCGGGACCTTCCCGAAAACCTCGTTGGTCCCGGCTTTAGGACCTTTGACCCATATTCTATGTAGAGTGAACGTACCACTTTCGCAGGTGACTACAAACGATCCGTCTTTGCTTAGAGCTAAACCATTGGGTAAATGAAGTTTGTCCATTATAACTTTGGCTTCTTTCTTCTTCATATCGTATCTAATTACTCTTCCGGCCTTCTCCGCGGATATAGACACATAGAATACCTCCCTATCCAACAAAACCAACATAGCAAATGGATAAGTACCATGTCCACAAATATCTACAAATGTATAACAAATTAGGAAAGTGTGAACATTTTGATTACCTGAAGTGGTACTTATCGCTGCTATCATTGAAGTAGAAAACATCTTCTTCTTCGTCTATATCCATTTGGTTTGCAAACATTACTTTACGACCATCGACTTCACCAACAACTAACTCGGCCAAACCTCCCTCTGGTCCGACTTTCATGACCCCAAAGTAACCATCACAAATGTACAAATCTCCTGTTTTCTTATGGAAGCTTAGTCCCAATGGCCTCCCACAACTTGGTACAACCTCATCCCTCGAACAGTTCTCTCTTCATTCATCCAAAAAATAAAAACTAATTAGAAACATTAACTAAAATCCTAAGCATATACAATCCAACATATTTTTCAGAAAGTTCAGAATCTTTAGCCCATAATCTTTTCAAACCAAAGACCAACATTTGGTAATACTATCTCATAAAATAAATCATGATCGAGATAGGGATGCAAAGTTCCATTCGCCACTAAATCACCAACAACTTAATCTAAGTTATCCAAATGTCAAAACTAATACCACCCATTTGATTACAAAAGGGTAATTTAGTAATTTTCCTGGTTACTAGCAAACCTGTGAGGAGAAGTGTATGCGAACTCAACCCAACCGAGTTCTTCACCGCGCCATTTGAGGATGCGACCGTCGGTGACACCAACATAAGGACCTTCACCATTTGGATCAAAGTCTAAGCTCTCTGGTCCAGCTCCGGGAAGAGGAATGGTCTTAGCCAGTTGGAGGATGTGTTTCGAGCCTTTTATCTCCTCCGGTCCGATGATCCATGGCCAGAAGAAGAAAGTTACGACAGCTAAGATAATCGGAACGACCGCGACCGGCGTCAAAACTCTCCGGCTAATCGGCATTCTCTCTTTATCTCTCACGAGAAAATGTTTTCGTGAGTGATTATTGATACTAAAATTAATTCCTTTTTAATTAGGAGATATAAAAGTTTGAGTCGAGACGTGGAACAAGGAGACAACACACATTATACACACTTTACTATCAGTGTTAGTGCTTGGCTTAAAGTGCCATGTGTCTATCAGATTCAGATCCGACATTCTTTTCCTCTTCCATTCATTTGTGATTTGTCACTACTCTCATTACATATCTCGAGAATAATATAAAACTGTGCAAATAGCATTTGTTTTCTTGTATACTTTTTTTTTTTGTATATAAAAGTATCAAATAAAGTGAAATGTTTCGTATTAGAACAAATCTAGTGGGAATCCCATTATTCTAAACAGAGAATTAGGCTCTTACCAAAGGTGAAAACTACTAGAGTCGTATCATCCAAATCCTTACAAATAACTTGATATATTTCACATGTTCTTTTTTTTTTTTTGCTAAAATGATATATTTCACATGTTCACTTTTAAACAATTACCAAAACCGTTTTAATCCCTCGTACGACCTTTTTTTTTTCAAGAAAACAATGTACAAACATTTATTTATTTATTTGGAGCCTCGTAAATTATCTGGCGCAAGGAATATATGGAATGTAATCAAATGCAAATTTGCATCCAGATATCTTGCTTTTTGAAGCGACTTTTTTCATTCTACCAAAATAGTGGATGAGCTGTGACAATCAATACCGACATCATTACATGCCAATAGGCGCCATTAACAGTCAAACTTTTGGAGCCTCGTAAATTATCTGGCGCAAGGAATATATGGAATGTAATTACGGCGAGGACGGTCGTCGTGAATTCGGATGAACAACGATGACGTTTTCAAGTTCTTTTATATATAAGTCTCAAAAATCGATATTACTTTTTTCAACAAAAACAAAAAAAAAATCGATATTACTAGAAAAATTTAAAACGTTAACTTTTATTTCTCCTAATTGCACCATCATACCGCTCCTGTCTTCTGGCCAGCAACGTATCTATACTAGTTTTAGTATGATTTTTAAAAATTACTTAAAGTTTTGGTCACTTTGACAACGACCAAAAAAGCCAGAACAATAATCCAAATTAATATTTTCATTGGCTTCCACATCGCTTTCGTCGCACGACGATTCTAGAATGCTTATCGATACTTCCTCGTAGCTGTCTCCGGAGAATCTTGAAGGTGTGTCGATGGTTCTTTTGTTTCCATGTTTTTAATATTTTTTTACCGTGGGACCAAAACTATAGATATAGCAATTTGTTTATCGAACATTTTATAACCCTAAACTTTCATTTCATAAATGATATTTACAATTTAACAAAAAAAAAAAATTAAGATTTTCTAGCTAATAGTCGGCTTTTTCTTATAGAAAAACTCGGTGCTGTAAAATACGTGTGTACATGGGCGGACCTATATTGTGAGAAGGGGATACAAGTGGCCTCGGTAAATTTTTGATTTAGCCATTGTACAAAGTAGGTTTTTCACATAGCAAGTGTTTCACATTTCTATATTTTGAGATCATGAACTTAGTAACAAACAAATGTTTTTGGATCCGCTAATGCATGTGTAACGGAGTACAGAGGTTTCGTTTTGTTTAGTGGGTGCACATAATACATGTTAGTATTCAGTTTCGCTGTGAATGACATGTTGTCTAATAAGGAACAAATGCCTTAAGATGATCAATTCCCATCGGATTAGTCCACATTTTTTACCAAAATAAAGAAAGAACAAATGCGATATAAACAAAATGGAAGTGCGAAACTAATGAAAGTGACTGCGTTAGGTTTTTAAAAGGATTGAGACTTTTCCTTTTTGGGGGACTAAGGTTGGAACTTGGAAGCAAAGGCTCATTCACTGACTGCTTATGCTCCCCCAAACAAAAGGAGACTTAAGCGTTCTTTAAAGGATTGGCGTTCTTTAAAGGATTGAGACTTTTCTTCTTTTGTGGTCAAAGATTGGTTGAAAGTTGAAAATGTTAAAGTTGATTAATTTAATTAATGTGTTCCTTAAATTTGTATCATGAGACACATACAATTTTTTTACTAAGTATTTCCTCAACTAATATATAGAACATTACTCATTACTCATTGCATATTTGGAAAACGCGTCTGCATCATCTTATTATTTACCACTTTTAAAATATTATTTTGTAAAAATATTATCATGAGTTGTCTATT